TCTCATTGATGACCCTCCAGGCCTCCCCATATTGCCTTTCACTTTGCGCTGCCTGCACTCTTTCGCACACTCTCCATCAGTTCCTGCCCTTTGATGGTGTCGTAGGTACTGAAGAGAAACAGTTTGGCTTCGTTCAGTACCCCACGTCTCTCCAAGGTTGGTTCACGCTCAAAGTTGAGGCGTGCTTCCTCCACCCTACCCCGTGCCGCTACGACCTCCGGATGTCTGGACCGTAGGGAGGTTCTGGCTCTGTCCAGCACGGGCACACGTAGCCTGGTCGCCTCCTCGTTTGCAACAACAAATCTCCTGTATTCGCTGCTGGACTCTGCTCTCCTTATCCAGCTGCCGAAAGCGCTTCCTAACCTCCTCCGTATTACCTGGTTTGAAGGGCCAGGGTCGGTTGTGAATGCCTTCCAGTCATGCCGGATCTTGGGGCTTGGCTTGGGGACCCTGAGGCTCAGTCGCACCCTCATGGAGACCATGCGGTGATCAGAGCCCACAGAGCTGAACGTGCTGTACGGTTCAGCATTCAGGATGGAGTTCCTCCACTTTTGCCTCATAATATAATATTATTAATACATGAATGTGCTGAATGTGTGTGTTTACTGCTGGAGCTTTAAGGACCACATTTATCTGAAATATAGTATTGATTGATTGATTGAAAAGTTTATTAACAGCTTGTATATTGGGTACAGTACAGTACAGCTCAAAACATACAATTGTTAAGGGATGCAGACCAGAGAAAGACTTTCGTCTTGTTTACATCAGGGTCCCCCATTTCCAATTCATCATATCATTTAAGACATATAAGACATATTTGACATACAGATGGCTTATTTACAATTTACATACAGGTGGTTTTTTACATACAGATGGCTTATTTACAATTTTCATTTTAGATTTCGTTCTAATACATCCTAACCGGACATTTAAGACATACCAAGTCTACAGATATACAGTTAGTAACAGAGTCTAAAATGCGAGTATATACATAGATGGGGGGGGGAAGCTGTCCATTGTACGACAGGTTGAGATTTGTACCATTACCGGGGCCAGTTTTGCAATGCTTTCCCCCGAAGGTGCTCTTTAAGAGAGGTTTTGAAGGTAAGTATAGTTTTACTTTCCTATAATAGTAATAATATACTTTAGTTAACCTGTTAAGCCCGAGAGACCCCGGTACCGGGGCACTGCCGCAACATCTTGCAGGAAACAGTGTCTGAGGGCATGTTCATTTAATAAAACTATGAATGTTTTATATCCATGCAGTGGCGACTGGTCATATCCATGCAGTGGCGACTGGTCATTAGGGGCAGGTGTCATTAGGCACAGCCCCACCTAGTGTCAGCAGAAAGTATTACAAATAATGATTACAAAAATGCAAAAAAAAAAAAATATATATATAAAATATATTTTAAGATCATGTTTAATCATCTGATTCGTCTGCACATTGCTGTTTTAGTCTGTGTTCTTCTAATTAGTGTGTCTACAGTCACAGTGTGTGCCTATTGAGCTGCTTAGAGCCATGTGGGACAAAACCTGATCATGCCCCTTCCTCTCGCTGTGAAGTGAACGGTGACTGTAAAAACTACACTGCGCATGCTCAGAGTATTTTTCTATGTAATGTGTGTGGCAAAAAAATAATGACCAGAGGGGCACTGAGCTGCCATCCCCACCATACGTCATCTCAAATCATTCAGAGCTGATTGGCTGTAAGTACGTGTGCCGCGAAAAGTGTGGTGAAGAGGAGACGAGAGAGCTGCAGTGACGCGTCCTAAAACCAGGAAGTAAGCACAAAAAAGCAATGAGATTTCTCCAGAGGATTTTAGAAAATAGCTGTAAATAAGATCTGTGGGAAACGTACCTGTTAGATAAATGCACGTTTTGATTAGCCGGATAACATCCACATGTCTACCCTACTTTTATAATTTTTTTATCATAAATCTATCGATTAGATTTATGATAGACTTTTGAAACTACAAGAAGATAAGGAGGACTTTTACAAAAAAGTAATAGAAATGTTTGTCCAGAAGGATAGGAAAATGGACTTCATCTTCAAGTCAAGGTAAGACCGCCATTTTATTGAAAATGGGATCTTACTAAGAGAGAACAATTCAATATTTAAATGATCAAATTACATTTTTTGGGTATCCTTTTGTTGAACTGTCTGTTTAAAATTAATCGAAGCATCAGACAAAAAAAAGCTTTTGAAAATAATATTATATTTTGGTTTAGGTCAAAATATAATATTTGTAAACCTGAAGAGTCAGTGCCAGTGCCTCAGCAGCCATGAACCTCACTGCACGTCACTGCAGAAGCTTATATATAGACATTTACGTTTTTTGTGCCCCACCACTTTTGTACATATAAAAACGCCACTGTATCCATGTAACGGGAAGAAACTCATCTAACTGATCATTTTAATTTATTTTTCAAAAAGAAAAACACAATGCTAACGCTGAGCCTCTGAATTAGCAACGAGCGAAAAATGCTAACACCTTACTGCACCGAAAATCACTCACAAAACCTTATTATTTATCTTTTCTGCACATCCAACACATCGTTTCACATCGTGAGGTGACACAGAATCGATGGGTGCATACATTATCACTCTATGATACGAACTCGCGACTTTATAAACAAAAACAGACATCAAAACATGTGGCGCTAGGTAGCTAAAAACGCTAACATGGCTTACCTGTGTCGTAGTCTGGTCAAATGTGGTCTTCAATGGCATTAAAACGATAAAAACGCTGCTGAAGTTAATCCATAGGTTAATCCAATGTGTCTGTGTCCCTTTGAAATGATTTCTGATAATCCATAAGCATTAAACCTGCTTTTCCGTTTCCAGATGTCAGAGCTAGAGATAGGTTCGCTCTGATGCAAAACTGCATGCGCGAAGCCCCCACCTTTTTTTTGTACCATGTGTGTGATTGGGGAGATTCCCCTTTGATTCTATTGGCTCTAACTGTCAGAAAGAGATGTCAATCACCAAAATCGACCAATGGGTTCCAGAGAAACGGTAAAACCCCCATTTCCACCCAAATCATCTCAGAGGTGGAGTTCTTTTTGCTAAATCTCTCTAAAAAGGTCAAATGTCACTTGTTTTGCATCAATCTTGATACAGGGTACTTATTATATGTTGTACTTTGGATTCCTAAAGCTTTTAGTCTACCTTACCATCATCCAAGGGTAGTTTTCACTATAAGTGAAAAAGAATTTTTGGACGGACACTATAATTTACAGTAAAATCTGAATTTTCTTTAAAATAAAAAACATCTATATTGATTCTGACTTCTCTACATCCAACTCACAGGTTTATCATTACTTTGAGAAAAAAGATTATTAATTTAACCCTTTTAGAAGGGAAGATATGGTCATTTGTTCTGGGAATGTCATTTTCGAGCCTGAGACCTGAAAAACAGGCTCAGGGCTTAACAGGTTAAAAAGGAGAATACTGACACAGGGCTTCCTATAATATATAAATATAATATATAATAAGTAAGGGATAATGTGCAGCGAGGCGGTCATTATGGGGAAAAGAACACCCTTCAGATCAGGAGCCCGACGCGAAGCGGAGGGATCTGGATCTGCATGAAGGGTGTTCTTCATAAGGACCAAGTCTCTGCACTTTATCCCTTAGTTCTCACACGGCCACATTCTCAACAAAGTAACGACATGACTCCCAATAGTAATTGAAATGCTTTTATAAATTAGAAATGTTTTTATTGATTTAAAATATAGTTGTATTGATTTAAAATGACGTGCATCCGCTAAGAAAAATAGTCCGTTGTTACCGTTTGAACTACGTAGCAACGCGGCAGGAAGTGCTTCCATAGCGTTTCGCATTTTGATTACAGATTTGAAAACATCGCTGCTTTAAAAGTAGCTCAATCCATGATGTCAGACCCTGGGAAGGATCTAGATACCCCTGCCCTAATGCCAAAGGAACTGCACACTGAATATGTCTCGCCGTTTGATGTCTGTGTCTGGACCGCTGCGTAAAAAGGAGGGTTTCTGCCCCGTTACTTCTCCGCTGTTTTCTTGTCCCGCTTGTCTTTTTATTTTCTTCACTGGGGACTCATCAGTCACTAACCATTCATCCTGTGCTCTCCAAATATATTAAAATGAATATTAAAATAAATCCTCCATGTTGCTCTCAGACGGGAGACAACAGAAAACTAAAGACAAGCAAACATATACGTATACAGTGAAATCGACCGGACTTCTTTCTGCAGATGTGAGCGTCCTTAACAACGGTCAATAAATCCTTAACAGCGGTCTGTACTACTGGATTAACGTGTCACATGTTCTGAATTGACCAAACAGAATCGAGTATTCAACTAAACCATGTAGGCCTAATGAGAAAATATAATATATAATGTGTTATTGTAAGTTGTCCTGATGGAACATGTGATGAGCTCCGTCCTGTTAGTTCAGCAACTCAGCAATGTGTGTGTGTGTGTGTGTGTGTGTGTGTGTGTGTGTGTGTGTGTGTGTGTGTGTGTGTGTGTGTGTGTGTGTGTGTGTATGTGTGTGATGACAGAGCAGAATGGGACAGGAAACGTTAGAGGACAGGACATACTTTTATTTACTGTCCAGGATGTCCTGCTATTCACACACACACACACACACACACACACACACACACACACACACACACACACACACACACACACACACAACACACACACACACACCCACACACACACACACACACTCTCTCTCTCTCTCTCTCTCTCTCTCTCTCTCTCTCTCTGTCCTCCTTTTATTTCTCTTTTAACTTCAAACGCTCTGATGTATTTCTCTAACTAACACAACACCTTCTCAGGAGGATCTATTATAACTTTACTTTAAATTAAAGACTAAAAACTTTATTGAGAGCGTCACCGTCAGACGTTCTCTAAAAGGCTGAGTCGGCAGATTTCAGGAGGAGGAGCTTCAGGAGTGTGTGTGAGGAGTGTGTGTGAGGAGTGTCAGAGTGTGTGAGGAGTCAGATGGAGTCAGTGTGTGTGAGGAGGAGGATGATGATGATGATGATGATGATGAAGCTGCTGCTGCTCTCTGTGCTGCTGATGAAAACCTCTGCTGCTCTACAGGTACACACACACACACACACACACACACACACACACACACACACACACACACACACACACACACACACACACACACAGAGATATAGGGTTATAATATAGTTATATTACTGTATTATAACTTTGGTAACACCTTACCTAGATGTAAATACTTTCTGTTCTCTTGACACTTCATGAGGACTGAATGAATATTATATCTGTGTATAATGGGCCATTCTACTGAATTGGTTCAAAGTCAGGTTGGAACAGTTTTTTTCCCAAAACTTTGTCCATATATATTTCTGAATCTAAATTACACATAGTAAAAGAACCGTACATTTTTACATTCATACAACCGACTGTATTGAAATGTTCTTCCTCTACCAAAAATGGTCACTACCAAAAACATAGTACATATACTGTAGTAAAAAAGTATTATATTATCTCTAAATAGTATTTTAACAAATATTTCTTGAGGGTTTTCACAATTAAATTAAAGGTCCCATGTCATGCTTTTCTGGTTCTGACCCGTCCCCTTGTGTTCTGAAGCTTCTGCATGTGAACGGTCTGCAGAGTCACAAACCCTCAGAGTGCACCCTGTAGAGAGTAAAGCTCTAACACAGAGAAGACCTGTCTCTGCTGCCCCAGAACGCCTCGCTGGACATTTCTCTGTTTCCATTTGTTTCTTCTTGGGTATAGTGACGTATTTGGGTATAGTGACGTAACGGTACGTAACGGCTCCGCAGATTGGTCCGCGGAGCCGTTACGTTTGGACCAATCCGCGGACCACACACACAAACTCCCAGCCAGGCTGCGGGTGTCTGTGTGTTTCGGGCTGGGTCTCGCTGTCTCGCAGACGGCCACTGGGCTCACAGGGAGTGGGGGGGCAGGAGCTCCAACAAGCCGTGTAGGACAGAGAGTGAATACACAGACTATACAGAGATGCTGTATGAGAAACCAATGTGAGTTTGGAACATTGAACAATGTACATCTATTCTAGTAGAACTCAACAATGTAACTATGATCAGTAGAAATGGCCATGTCATGGGACCTTTAATAAAAGTGAATTTTTAATCAGATTTCAAAGTTCAATTTATACAATTCATAAAAATCATAATGCAAACTTTCTTTGTAAAATGCATAATACTGATCATATTGATTCCAGAGTTGATGATTGTTGAAATTGAACATACATTAAATCAATCAGTATCATATCATTTTATTTGA